TGGCGGTCACCCGATATAGGCCTACTTGTAATTTTCGGCGATATTCACTCTTAATAGTTTGATCGGTGCTCTCTATAAAGGCCGATCAGGAGAGCTGGATCTGATCGATATGGACATAAACGCGAGTGAAGTATAACCGGACGCGAGAGAGATCAGATCAGCTGCTGAGTCTGACCCCAGTTTCCACCGGGTCCGTCTGCGCCGCGCTGCGTAAGGATCGCGGCCACTCTAGTCAATGGGTGCTATTCCACCACACGCGCCGCGTTACGGCTCAGACGCGTCCCAGAAGCGGCTCGGCGCAGCGCTTCATAGGATGAATCCTATTTTTGCCGCGGCGCAGACGTAACGTAAGGTCGGGCAGGCAGCCCCCTCTCGCAGGAAGTGGAAAGGTGAGCATCCGGGCCAGGCCCATCCCCCACATATACTAATTTAGCAGACCCCCCTCCTTCACCACAACACCTCCACTACGATACGCACAATGGACGACGAGGTTTTCATCATGGAAGTGGAAAAACACACTATTTGATATGATGTAACCGATGCTTACTACAAGGACAACAACAGAAAGGACAAGGCCTGGTTTTTAGTCGCTGCAGTTTGTGGAGTGGAAGGTAACAACTACATATTAATATTTTAAAGTTGATTAATACTTGTAGATAGTACAGAGCCATTCAATAAACACAATTTAAACAGACACAAAAATAAAACATTTAACTACGTAGTTACTTTCTTGTAGAAGTACAAATGTCCAGGATGCCCAAATCAATAACAAAACTGCGAGCCTGCTACGCTTCTGAAACGCTTCTGGGACGCGTCCGGTGGGTTATGGCGCTAGAGGAGGTCGGACCAAAACCGCGGCGCAGCTCGGCGCAGACGGACCCAGTGGAAACTGGGGGTGATGGAGACATGCAGCTCTGCATGATCACCTGAAGCTCCGCCCTCTGTTCAGCGAGCTGACCGGACAGCGCAAAATGCTATATGAAGTGTCATGAACGCAAGAAATCATACCCTCGTGGGGCGCGCTCATGTGATTGGCTTAGAATGAAGGAGACATCTGATTAGCTATAGATAGAAACAATTACAAGTACGAATCGGGTGAGCGTCAGGGGAGTCTCAAAAAACCCAAACACGAATGCACAACGATCCGTGCACTGTTTGCAGGTTCAGAGGATTTAAACGGAAAACAAATGTGTGGATCAAAAATACATATGTAACACTTTTTGTGTGTGCATTGAAAAACACAAGTGCGGATCCGGAAATACAAGTGTGAATCCTTCTGTGTGCATGTGTGTATTATGAGACTGTCCTGAGCCCATATGTTTGGAGCTTCGGCCGGAGAATTCACAAGACATGTCACGGGCCACGGTTTGACCATCCGATGAGATGCCACAATCAATTCTGAAGAACCTTCCTCTCGTATGAGGTTTTATAGTTTCGCTAAGGGTAATCAACATTCTTCATTAGATAGACTAAACAGCTGAGGACACTGAATCACATGTTGTCGCTTATGGCTCGGGGTCCTCTGCACCCCGAGGCGGATGTGTTCCAGATGTCCCACAACAATAACTCTGGCAGAGAGCTGCCCGGTCATAAACTGGTAACAACAACAACTTGCTAGGGCAGCCCCTCCTCAAGGGAGATAACGGCTGCTCGAGGTTGGTCAGCTGCGTCAGGGGGCGAAGGAGGACACTAGGGCTAATTATTCCCTAACAGTAAGTATATTAATTAAAGTACTATACTTAAGTACAATTTACAGGTACTTGCACTTTGCTTGAGTATTTCCATGCTATGCTACTCTGTACTTCTGCTCCACTTTTAGGTAACATACTCAGAAATATAGCAAATCTTATCATAAATGGGAAATAATTGCAATATAAAATTACAAGAAAACATTTTCTCAATTGACAAATAGTAAAAAAATGTTTAGTACAATTTTAAAAATGTTTACTAAACACTATACTAGTTATATAATACTTGTTCCATTAGAGCAGGGGAGTCAAACTCAAACACACAGTGGGCCAAAATAAAAAAATGGGTACTAGTCGAGGGCCGGACTGGTTCAATGTTTATTGCAGAACTTATTGAAATGAACTTATTGCACATATTAAACCTGGAACTAACAAAGCTTCAATGATTGCCTATAAAAACAACATGAAACATTAAATAATCAGTTGCATTCATTTCTTATGGCTCTATCTGCAGCTTTTCCAGAGTCATTTCTTATGAGTACATTTTCCCACAGGCCAACAACAGCTTCAAGAAAACTATTCCCCTCAAAGAGAAAACCAAACATGCCCTGTTGTCGTGAGAGAAAGTGCAGAAGGAAGCATCCATTGAACTCAGTGTGCTGCTCTGTGATGCTAGCTCAGATACTTGGCATCTCATCTTGGGTGCAAGGTCATCAATGTTTGGGCTCAGGCTCTGAGCTGAGGAGACCCTCAGGATGGAGTGTGCGTGCAATATACCGGCGGACCAGATCTAATAGGAATTAGAAATTATCCTGCGGGCCGAAATTAAATCCACCAAGGGCCTGATTTGGCCCCCGGGCCTCAAGTTTGACACATGTGGGTTAGAGGAAGAACATAAACCGTATCATATACAAAGAAAGTGTTGTAGTTTAAATAAAAACAAACATGGGAAATACAATCAAATCAAATCAAATCAAGTTTTATTTATAGCACATTTATAAACGATCTTTGGTCGAGCCAAAGTGCTGAACATGTAATAAACATAGCCTACAGTAGAGACACTTTACAGCAAATACAACAGCACAGATTGTTCAGAATATCAGTATGAGAAAAACGACACCCTCTGTCCTTAGACCCTCTGTCCTTAGACCCTCTGTCCTTAGACCCTCTATCCTTAGACCCTCTGTCCTTAGACCCTCTGTCCTCAGACCCTCTGTCCTTAGACCCTCTGTCCTTAGACCCTCTGTCCTTAGACCCTCTGTCCTCAGACCCTCACATCGTACAAGGAAACACTTCCAGAGAAAACCCACAGTTTAAAGGGAACATGGAGAAACCTCAGGGAGAGCAACAGAGGAGGGATCCCTCTCCCAGGACGGACAGACGTGCAATAGATGCCGTGTGTAAATCCAAGAGATAATACATTTTACAGCATATAGACCGAATGTTAGGAAATGCATGTGTCTGTAATAAGAAGATGAATCCACGAGGATGTCAGCTACAATCCTGTGGGAGTTATTAGCTTTATTGGGAGCTACAATAAAGCTAATAACTAAAGTTTCCGGTTCTTTTCTAACCCTGAACCTGAGACAACTCATTCAATATTACATTAAAGCAGTGGTGGATAAAACTAAATACATCTACTTACTTTGTACTTAAGAAAACACTTGAGGTACCAGTGCATGACATTAAGGATTTTGGGAGATGGCCCTGTGGGCCATCTAAGCTAATTTACAGATGGCCCTGAGCCCAATAGAGATTGCCCTGAAAAATGCGCGCGGACGAAATGGCACGAAGGGTTTGGGGGGCCTCCGTCCCCCTAGACAATTTAGATTTTTGCAGGTCTTAGATGCTGTCTGGTGCATTCTCTAGACTGAATTATAAGATGAACCACCACAATATTGTATTGTACAATTTCAATTGTATTCTTCATTTCACTTGTTTGTTTGTTCTTGTTTGTGTTTGCTCGCTTCCATGCCCTGGATAGCTATAAGAAACACTTAAGTTGTTGGTCAAGACACTTTCCATCTGATGAAGGCAAATGCCTTCCCAGATGTAAAAAAGTAGAAAACATTACATTCAGTTATTAATGCCAAAACAAACATTATTTACACTGGTATGAACCCTGTTAAAAATGTTTGTAATGTTATCTACTGTAAGTTGGTCGAACGAATGCCTCCTCATCCGGAAGCTGACCGAGCAGACCTCAGCAGCAGTCGAGAGGAGCCGAGCGCATCCGCGAAGCACACAAAATGGCGACGTCATAGTTCCCATTAGCCGGCAAATCTAAATGTCCGGTCAAAATAATTTCCCTTTAGTGCAATACCGCTTCAGTTGCGCCACTTATGTGACAGACAAAAGAGTATGTGACAGACGAGAATAGTCAATTATAATGTCTAACACGTAATGTGGAGAAAGAGATGTCCTGTGTGGGTTGATTGTGCGTTGATCTGTTGGTAATGCCTCGGGGTTCCGGTGGGCATGTAAACAAATGCATAATGCTGCGCTATACTTTGTGGCCTCACCCAGTTGCATAGCGACACTTATTGTGTAGGTGTCTTTTAATAAACAGGTAGTCCTATCATTAGCTAGAACTAGCTGGATCTGATCGATATGGACATAAACGCGAGTGAAGTCTAATCTGACGGGAGAGAGAGATCAGCTGAGCAGGCTGACGAGTGGACACGCAGCTCTGCATGATCACATGCAGCGGTGAGCGGACAAAACACACACGTAGCTATTTTAATTACCTCTCAAACTACCTAAACTAGTTATAGATATGTTTAGTTTTACTGTCGGGTCACTCATTACTGGATCCGCAAGCTGCATGATACTGGCACAATAGATTGCCCGATCGGGCAACCAGCAGGTGAGGCTTCATTGCCCGAGCTAAATACTAGATGGCCCCGGGCCATCGGGCAGTCCTTAATGTCGAGCCCTGGGTACTTATTATATTTAATACTTAATTACAATACTTTCAACTTTGACACACATTTCATTTTGTGCGCAAATGTACTTAGAACATATATAATATATATTTATAATTATTATTATTGCATATATTTTTTTTTTAACTTCTTTGAACACTTATTGTAAACCTTTTCCCCCCTATTCCTCATTTTTTGAATTTTGTAACTTAACACGCCAGTGAAAGAATTATTAAAATATTTGATTACGGGTTATATTTCACAATAAGTACTTTTGGTATGACTTTCACTTTCTAACACTGTGGTTTTACCGCTTTAAATGAGTAAAGAGTACCTTTAGCCCTCAGTTTAAACAGTGCTATCATTCAGATACTGACCTCCCAGTGGAGGAGGAGCTGCATGACAGCAGCCCAGGAGGATTGTGGGTAAGAACAGGTCCGCCTGCTTTCCTCCTGACACACCTGCAGCGGGAGGAGCCGACAGGTGGACTGAGAGGGAAAAGAGAGAGGAACACACACACTCTCACACACACTCTCAGATCACAGCAGACACCGAACAGACCCAGAGATGTCCAGTTCTCTGAAGCTCAGCAAGTAAGTGTGTGTGTGTGTGTGTGTGTGTGTGTGTGTGTGTGTGTGTGTGTGTGTCAGGTTACCTTGTATTGACTCTTTCGCTGTTTTCTTTCCTGAAATCTGATTCAAACTGCTTCTTCTTTAACCATGATCTTATTTAAATCAGTGTTTACAAAACTAAATATACTTACACATAATATATTGTTTATTATCATTTGATCACAGTGGCTACCAAGAGGATTAACAAAACAAAACGTATTTATGTTTTATGTATACATTGGATGCCAAAGTACACAGAAAACAAATATATATGAAATCTTTTAATGTTTTTTATGACGTTTTTATCATAGTAAAACCTATATTTATTTATTTAATATAATTATTTTTTAATATCAATTTATACGCATTTACGCATCAGTATTTACATTTTTTTAATATATTTTTTATTATTATTTTATCCCAAAGGATACCAAAAGTATTTCCAAACATTTATTTTACATTTAAAAAAAAAGAAAGTTGTTATAACAGTGGATACCAACAGTGTTTGAAAAAAAATGAAGGAAAAGAGTCAAAAACTGGAAAGAAAAAAAGGGATATCGCGGTACTAAATATACAGTATACATATATGAGGGGTGTGAAGTACACATTAGTTTCATTCATTCTTTCAAAGAAAGCATTCAGAGCTCTGGAGAATGAATGAAACATCTCTCAGTGTTTACTGTAACAACACCACTGGACATGTTTACGACACCTTTACCATGTGAAGTACGTTTACTGAAGTTCAAGTTCGATGCTGCTACTTTAACTTAAAGGGGCCCTATTCTGCCTGAAACGCCTCCATTGGACTCCTTTGTTTACTTCCTGAACATAGTGACATCACTATGTAACACTCTTTTATTGGCTATCACTCCAACACATTGTACGTGATGATGAGAAAAATAAAAAGCTTTTTGAACATTAAAGCATGGAGACACGTCCCAGTTCAGACACGACATACTGATATACACCTGGACATCAGCAGGAGAGGACTCTTTAAAGTAGAGACACTACATACTGATATACACCTGAACATCAGCAGGAGAGGACTCTTTAAAGTAGAGACACTACATACTGAAATACACCTGAACATCAGCAGGAGAGGACTCTTTAAAGTAGACACTACATACTGAAATACACCTGGACATCAGCAGGAGAGGACTCTTTAAAGTAGAGACACTACATACTGAAATACACCTGAACATCAGCAGGAGAGGACTCTTTAAAGTAGAGATACTACATACTGATATACACCTGGACATCAGCAGGAGAGGACTCTTTAAAGTAGAGATACTACATACTGATATACACCTGGACATCAGCAGGAGAGGACTCTTTAAAGTAGAGACACTACATACTGATATACACCTGGACATCAGCAGGAGAGGACTCTTTAAAGTAGAGACACTACATACTGATATACACCTGAACATCAGCAGGAGAGGACTCTTTAAAGTAGAGACACTACATACTGATATACACCTGAACATCAGCAGGAGAGGACTCTTTAAAGTAGAGACACTACATACTGATATACACCTGAACATCAGCAGGAGAGGACTCTTTAAAGTAGAGACATCAAATGTCCTCTTTATCACATAACGTGTTGCTCTTGTTTCAGGCGTGGACTCTGGAACAAAGAAGAATTCCTTCACTAATTCCTCCCTGACATGTCATCCATCTCAGACCTGTTTGTTCTGTCATTCCTCCGCCAACGAGATATGAAAGCAAACTATTTATTTTTGACACACCCGTATCAGGACACAGGGGGGGGGGGGGGGTAATAAGAGGGTGTTCCCCCCCCTCTCATTAGCGCCAGGAATGCTGGCGGAGGACTTCCTTTTTACCACTCCCATTGGAGGAATGTGACGATACATTTAGTCAGTGCATTTCCAGGTACCTTTGTATCGCTTACTCGTTACTGGCTCTATGACATACAAAATGATGATTTGACAAAATATGATGCTAAACGACAGTAACGACGTATAGAGATGATACAATTGGTTGATTGCTCAATAAGTTAATTGACATCAAAAATAACCCTATGAAGAGTCTTTGTCTCGCAATGAAGCAATGCAACTTTAACGAGGCTTCTCCCAGGCCAGTTAAAATAAGACAAAGTAAAGCAGCTATAAAACAGACACAGCAGCATTAAATAAGCGGCACTTATGAATAGTAACAAATAGAAAGTCATTTTTAAGATGGACTTTTATTAATCCCTCGTGGGGAAATTGTTTCTCTGCATTTGACCCACCCTAGTGTTAGGAGCAGTGGGCTGCCATTTTGAAGGGCACCCGGGGAGCAGTGTGGGGAACGGTAGCACTTGTCGGGACTTGAACTGGTGACCTTCCAGTTGCCAAGCTAAGTCCCTATCGACTTCGCCACCACCGCCCCATTTTATGTCTTACTTTGTGTTATTGATAATTTATTAAATCCGTTTTCATGTAATAATGCCAAATATACCACGGTTCCAGTTCGTCAAACTAGGCTTTTCTGCCTTTTAATTATTATTATTTGATATATATTGTTTGTGGCCGGACAGAACGACGAATGTCTCGTTCTACGTTTGTGATTTTATGACATTTTACAAACCAAACGAGCGATCAGCAGATTAACCCAGAATGAAAAACAGTTTGTCAAATATTTCCTGCTCCTAATCTAACGACGAAAATGCCTTGACATAAAATACTGGATTTACATGAGGCCATTTTTGTAAAGTTATAATTTTAAATTGATGCTTTTGGTAAATATTGCTGATTAAACTAACGTACTTTTTAGGACAAGCTATGTTTACATTTCGATACTTAAAAAGTCCAACATGTGTCCGACTTTATCATGAACTTCTTTATTTGTGTTGGTTTATTTTGGCCAGTTTTAGCTTTAACTGGAAGGCAACACTGTTAGATGACATAGAGGGCATGCCACGTTGAATTGCTTCACAAAGTCAACCCAACTTCATCCACTTCTGTCCGATACATAACAAAACGTGTAAATCAGGTGATGCGTTCACTGACTCACTGCCGATTAAAGCAAACACTGAGACCCTGCCCTGCCGCTCCCTCTGCCTTCAGACACGATCTGCAAACACACCCGCTGTCACATACCAGAGTACACACAGCTCTCATATACTTGTACTTTATTAGAGTATTTCCCCCCTTAACTTCCTTTCAGAAGCCACTATTGTCCTTTTTCGTCCACGACATGTATCTGATTATTAGAATATTCATCCAGATTTGAAATGCAGTACTTTTACGTGTAACAGAGAGCTTCTACACTGTTGTATTTCTACTTTAACTTCAGTAACGTATGCGCCTCGTCTGACTTCTCTCTCTCTCTGTATTTGTTTCTTTGCCTGAGGGGTGTCGCATTAACCGACTTTAATTTCTGGTTTCTCTCTCCGTGTGTGTTTAAAGCTATAATCCAGTTGATAAAGAGTATAAAGAGAGTGTGTGTGTGTGTGTGTGTGTGTGTGTGTGTGTGTGTGTGTGTGTGTGTGTGTGTGTGTGTGTTTAGAGGAGTGACTGTGGCTGCCGTGGATCATGTTGTATAAAATGACACACGGTTATAAATGTGTGACTCCTGCAGAGTAAATGGAAGTTGTGAAACCTCCACCCTGAAACTGTTTATCTTGTATAACATCAGGTAAAGTACTGCAGGGCAGAGGTGGGAGAAGTACTGTGGTGTTAAAATACTCTGTTACAAGTAAAAGTACTGAATTGAAATGTACTAGTGTCTCTATTTTAAAGAGTCCTCTCCTGCTGATGTTCAGGTGTATATCAGTATGTAGTGTCTCTACTTTAAAGAGTCCTCTCCTGCTGATGTTCAGGTGTATATCAGTATGTAGTGTCTCTACTTTAAAGAGTCCTCTCCTGCTGATGTTCAGGTGTATATCAGTATGTAGTGTATCTACTTTAAAGAGTCCTCTCCTGCTGATGTTCAGGTGTATATCAGTATGTAGTGTCTCTACTTTAAAGAGTCCTCTCCTGCTGATGTTCAGGTGTATATCAGTATGTAGTGTCTCTACTTTAAAGAGTCCTCTCCTGCTGATGTTCAGGTGTATATCAGTATGTAGTGTCTCTACTTTAAAGAGTCCTCTCCTGCTGATGTTCAGGTGTATATCAGTATGTAGTGTCTCTACTTTAAAGAGTCCTCTCCTGCTGATGTTCAGGTGTATATCCGTATGTAGTGTCTCTACTTTAAAGAGTCCTCTCCTGCTGATGTTCAGGTGTATATCAGTATGTAGTGTCTCTACTTTAAAGAGTCCTCTCCTGCTGATGTTCAGGTGTATATCAGTATGTAGTGTCTCTACTTTAAAGAGTCCTCTCCTGCTGATGTTCAGGTGTGTATCAGTATGTAGTGTCTCTACTTTAAAGAGTCCTCTCCTGCTGATGTTCAGGTGTATATCAGTATGTAGTGTCTCTACTTTAAAGAGTCCTCTCCTGCTGATGTTCAGGTGTGTATCAGTATGTAGTGTCTCTACTTTAAAGAGTCCTCTCCTGCTGATGTTCAGGTGTGGTATCAGTATGTAGTGTCTCTACTTTAAAGAGTCCTCTCCTGCTGATGTTCAGGTGTATATCAGTATGTAATGTCTCTACTTTAAAGAGTCCTCTCCTGCTGATGTTCAGGTGTATATCAGTATGTAGTGTCTCTACTTTAAAGAGTCCTCTCCTGCTGATGTTCAGGTGTATATCAGTATGTAGTGACTCTACTTTAAAGAGTCCTCTCCTGCTGATGTTCAGGTGTATATCAGTATGTAGTGTCTCTACTTTAAAGAGTCCTCTCCTGCTGATGTTCAGGTGTATATCAGTATGTAGTGTCTCTACTTTAAAGAGTCCTCTCCTGCTGATGTTCAGGTGTATATCAGTATGTAGTGTCTCTACTTTAAAGAGTCCTCTCCTGCTGATGTTCAGGTGTACATCAGTATGTAGTGTCTCTACTTTAAAGAGTCCTCTCCTGCTGATGTTCAGGTGTATATCAGTACGTAGTGTCTCTACTTTAAAGAGTCCTCTCCTGCTGATGTTCAGCTGTATATCAGTATGTAGTGTCTCTACTTTAAAGAGTCCTCTCCTGCTGATGTTCAGGTGTATATCAGTATGTAGTGTCTCTACTTTAAAGAGTCCTCTCCTGCTGATGTTCAGGTGTACATCAGTATGTAGTGTCTCTACTTTAAAGAGTCCTCTCCTGCTGATGTTCAGGTGTATATCAGTACGTAGTGTCTCTACTTTAAAGAGTCCTCTCCTGCTGATGTTCAGGTGTATATCAGTATGTAGTGTCTCTACTTTAAAGAGTCCTCTCCTGCTGATGTTCAGGTGTATATCAGTATGTAGTGTCTCTACTTTAAAGAGTCCTCTCCTGCTGATGTTCAGGTGTATATCAGTATGTAGTGTCTCTACTTTAAAGAGTCCTCTCCTGCTGATGTTCAGGTGTATATCAGTGTGTAGTGTCTCTACTTTAAAGAGTCCTCTCCTGCTGATGTTCAGGTGCATATCAGTATGTAGTGTCTCTACTTTAAAGAGTACTCTCCTGCTGATGTTCAGGTGTATATCAGTATGTAGTGTCTCTACTTTAAAGAGTCCTCTCCTGCTGATGTTCAGGTGTGTATCAGTATGTAGTGTCTCTACTTTAAAGAGTCCTCTCCTGCTGATGTTCAGGTGTATATCAGTGTGTAGTGTCTCTACTTTAAAGAGTCCTCTCCTGCTGAATTTAGCTCTTTATTGTTCTCATACTGCCTGTGCTGCAGCACCTCTTTTCACCCTCTGTCTGAAACCAGAGCCCAGTCTGCTCTGATTGGTTAGCTGGCCGGCTCTGTTGTGATTGGTCAACAACTTAGAGATGTCCCGCCCCTTAGCCTACCATGTACAATGTGTTGGAGTGCTAGCCAATAGGAGCGTGAGTGTTACATAGTGATGTCACCATGTTCAGGAAGTAAACAAAGGAGTCCAATGGAGGGAACACAGGGATGTTAGCCTTTGCAGACCATTTACATGCACTTAAACCTACAGTATAGAACACACTACAGGAAAGGGAGAACTCCAAAAAGCAGAATAAGACCTCTTTAAATTCTTCTATAACTTTTCTTCTGTCTTCAGTATTTCTCACATTGCAGTGTTTTGGATGATTTTAACCGTCACCTCTCTGTTCCTGTACCCAGGGCTCAGGCCCAGGACCTGGCTGTGGTGATTTCTCGGATGCAGGTAAATGCCGACCAAGTAGAGAAGAGCATCCTGGCTGCAGAGCATCATCTGGGCGTGGTAAGAGAGGTGTCATGTACACCTGCTGGGCACACTTTTCAAAATGGCTAATATTGTCTGATGCAAACTTCCTTGTGATAAAAAAGATAGAATCAGAGAAAAACAAAGCTCCTTTGTTCCCCTCTTAGGACACAGAGCGCGATGAGAAGAACCTGAATCTGTACCACCAGAGGGAGAACGCTGACACCCTGTCGCAGGCCGAGGGGCTCCTGAAGGACCTCTTCATGGACGTGGACAAAGCCAAGAGGCTGGGGCACCCGCAGGTCCACGAGATCGAGAAGGAGTGAGTTCATACCCAGAGACATGCAGGCGGTGCTGGAGGAAGCACTCTCACCTGTTACTCAAGTAAAAGTAGAAATACAAAAAGGAGATGGAGGGAGATGAGGTTTTTTATCAACAAACAAAAAAACATTTTAAATTGTAAAAATAATTTCGAGCTTCACTAAAAAACATAAATGACTCAAAATGTGTCAAAAATAAATGTAAAACATATTTTAATAAGCTAAAGTACAAACAGGCTTGAACATCTACCAAAAACGAAATGTTATTCACAATAAATAAATACAAATACTTAAATGGTTATAGATGCCAATTATTTTCTCTAAAACATTATTTAATTGTCTAATTGTTCAGATGTTATTGAATAAACAGTTGGTTAGTTTCATTTCTTACACAACATCATATTTGATCATCATATTATTATTTTTCATTCAAAATATTGCTTATTAAAGTAACTAGTAGTGCTCTAGCTGTAGGATGAATTAAGTGAAGTAAAAAGTATTTACCCCTTTTTAAATGTTGTGGATTAGTGAAGTGTAAAGTCGTATTAAATAAAACAGTTGAACTTAAGCACAGTACTCCCTTGTGTGTGTACTATTAAATTCCACCGCTGCATGCATGCCAACAGACGCACCTAAAACTCGATGTGTCGCATGCCATCGAGACTTATAGCCACCTCAAATATTCATTTCCACATTCCCCTTTCTCTACCCTTCTACGCTTCATTGACTGAGCTCTCTTTGTCTCTGCTTCCTCTTCCTGCAGCGTGAAAAACCTCCACGATCGCTGGGTGAAGGACTGTTCCATCTACAGGGAGCTGTACTCCCAGGTCAAACCTCTGGATCCCAAACAGAAGATCGACTGGGGGCCTCTGCTGGACGACAAAATGGTCAGTTAATCTTGGGTTTTGTTAACTGAACATCTGCATGACTGATAAAGATCACAGGTTGAAAACGGTCCTGTTTCTGTGATTTACAGAGACAGTTAAAGTCAGACGCGTACGGCCCAAAGCTGCCTGACGTGGAGAAGCAGATGGCAGAACATAACATCCTGCACCAGGAGATCGAGGCGTACAAAGACCAGCTGCAGCCCAGCAGCACCAGCTCCAAGGTAACAGCACACAACCAGAGAGGGGCAGACCTCCAGCAAACAGTGTTACATCACAATCAATACATACATATGGCAAAGAAACGTTTATGATACTTAGACGTTTTGTCCAGCAGGATAATCTCCACATAGTAACACCACTTTATGGTTTGTGGAGTAAAAAGCTAATGTTGGTTTGAAAAGGAACTACATTACGGTCACATGACTTCACGTCACCACCGCTAAGCTAAAGGTGGCTAATGTTGGGCTATAAAGGAACTACATTATGGTCACATGACTTCACGTCACCACCGCTAAGCTAAAGGAGGCTAATGTTGGGCTATAGGAACTACAGCACGGTCACATGACTTCACGTCACCACCGCTAAGCTAAAGGAGGCTAATGTTGGGCTATAGGAACTACAGCACGGTCACATGACTTCACGTCACCACCGCTAAGCTAAAGGTGGCTAATGTTGGGCTATAGGAACTACAGCACGGTCACATGACTTCACGTCACCACCGCTAAGCTAAAGGAGGCTAATGTTGGGCTATAGGAACTACAGCACGGTCACATGACTTCACGTCACCACCGCTAAGCTAAAGGAGGCTAATGTTGGGCTATAGGAACTACAGCACGGTCACATGACTTCACTCAGATAAAATGCAGACTCAATTCAGGGTTTAAGACTTATTTTCTGCACCGCTCTATTGTCCCTCCAGGCTTCCTTACATTCAAGACTGCAACACAAACCTGGATTTTGGACATTAATAATAATTTCCACACCACTTTAGAGACACTACACTAACCCTCATGAACAGTCAAATGTTCTGTGCAGATGTAGTGCCACTGGTTAATATTTTCTAAAATATTTGTAATGGTTTTTGAGCCATGACAAAAAGCCAGCAGACTGGTTTTTATCCTAGGCTATACCAGAAATGCCTTTAGCTAAATACGCAGTTGTTGATCACTTGCGACCTGTAGAGAGGAGTGTTGAGTCAGCCGTTAGTAGCCTAAGTGTAAAACAGTCACTAAAATATGCTTTTGGACAGACAGACACATGCACACACAACTGAACACAGTATCTCCACCCCGGCTAATAATAACACATAAATATTACTTCAGGATGAATCATTCACCTGTGTCTTCTTCTTCTTTCTTCTCAGGAGCAGTACGCCGCCTTCAAGGACAAATATGACAAACTTTGTGTGAGTTTTTTCTCCCTGTGAGGCTTTGAAGTGTGTTTGAGTTGAGTTAAGTTCAGAGGGATGTGTGTATGTAATGCATGCTGTGTGTTGGGGTTCAGCAGATGTCTCAGAAATACTCACAATGCTAGAGGCCGGTTTCATAATCATGTATATTAAGTTTTGCATCTGATAGGGTTCCATAAGGAATCGAAATGTAATCGAAATCTCAATATTGATTACTGCACTTTCTAATATAATAGTGTAAGAGTCTTTGGATATCAGAGGAACCTTTGGATGTATTGAAATACAACTAACTTACATCCACTTGTTTCTAGTTTTGAGTCTCCAGAAATCCATGCAGTATGCCAATAAGCGTTAACGGACACCACACTGTATGATAAACACTTTTCCCTCCTCTGGTTGTGCAGGAGTTGTCTCAGCAGCGGCGCGCTCACCTGGCCTCGCTGTATGAGTACGTGCAAAGCTGCTGGAAGGAGCTGAGCTACTTGTCGGGGCAGCAGGAGAGGATCCTGCAGAGAGACTGGAGCGACCGCTTGGTGGACGCCCCCAGTGTCCGCATGGAGTACGAGGTGAGGGGGGAGTCTTTATCCGCTTTCACACCAAGCACTTAGCCGGTATTGTCCCCGGTACTTAGTCCCCCCGAACTCTTTAGTCCCTCGAACTGTCCTAGCAGATCGCGTTCTCACCGGAATAAGTCTCTGAGGGAGGATTAGGCAAATGAAGCCGCTGACGTCACTTCTTCTTCTTATGCTTTGGGTTCACAAAACGTTTCGGAGTTTTACGGGGCGTGGCTTGCAATTTGCCGAGCCAATCCGAAATTGTTAGTGTGGCCGACACACCCACGAACCATTTCCTCCCCAGGAAAGCACCACCTCTCTAGCTGGGACTATCTGGGGGTGAAAAGGTTCGCGCGAGCTAGGGACTAGGCCCAGATATTTTTGGTGTGAAACCAAAATCTCCCCCCCCCTATCGGCCTAGTTCGGGGGAAAAGTACTCCGGTGTGAAAGCGCCTATTATGGGAGATTTTTGAGGAATATTTAAAAGTCTTTTACCAGTTTACCATAAATCATAATGCTGTAAGAGCCAGTTACACCAGCTCTGGATCCAACAGGTGTAACCGGTGCTGTAACTTTAGTTTAGCTGCTGGCCGAATGAGTCAAATGAGGCTCCTTTAAAAAAGACAATGGATTATTGCAGAAAACAATCTCTGTGTCAAACAAACGTTTATGATACTTACACGTTTAGTTCAGCAGGATAATCTCCACATTTTAGCACCACTTTTTGAAGTAAAGAGCAAGTGTTTGGCTATAAAGGAACTACAGCACGGTCACATGACTTCACGTCACCACCGCTAAGCTAAAGGTGGCTAATGTTGGGCTATAAAGGAACTACAGCACGGTCACATGACTTCACGTCACCATCGCTAAGCTAAAAGTGGCTAATGTTGGGCTATAAAGGAACTACAGCACGGTCACATGACTTCACGTCACCACCGCTAAGCTAAAGGTGGCTAACGCTGGGCTATAAAGGAACTACAGCACGGTCACATGACTTCACATCACCACCGCTAAGCTAAAGGTGGCTAACGCTGGGCTATAAAGGAACTACAGCACGGTCACATGACTTCACGTCACCACCGCTAAGCTAAAGGAGGCTAATGTTGGGCTATAAAGGAACTACAGCACGGTCATATGACTTCACGTCACCACCGCTAAGCTAAAGGTGGCTAATGTTGGGCTATAAAGGAACTACAGCACGGTCACATGACTTCAGGTCACCATCGCTAAGCTAAAGGTGGCTAATGTTGGGCTATAAAGGAACTACAGCACGGTCACATGACTTCACGTCACCACCGCTAAGCTAAAGGTGGCTAATGTTGGGCTATAAAGGAACTACAGCACGGTCACATGACTTCACGTCACCACCGCTAAGCTAAAGGTGGCTAATGTTGGGCTATAAAGGAACTACAGCACGGTCACATGACTTCACGTCACCACCGCTAAGCTAAAGGTGGCTAATGTTGGGCTTTAAAGGAACTACAGCACGGTCACATGACTTCACGTCTCCACCGCTAAGCTAAAGGCGGCTAATGTTGGGCGTGATGACATTTAGTCGTCTCATTTAGACACTCGTTAGCAACCTCTGTTTTTAAATTCTCCAATGGGGTATTTACTGACGTATTTTATATAGTAGAGGTTGTAATCATGTCTTCTATTGTCTTTTTCAGAAATTCAAAACCAGCGGTCTGCTATCTCATGAGAAGGAGATCATCAAGCTGCAGGGGGAAGGAGAACGACTCGTTGAGAAGAAACATCCTGCCAGCTCCACCATAAAGGTACAGCTGTCACCTAGATCAATGTGATGGGTCAAATATGATGAATGATTATAACAAATGTAATATACTAAACTGAGGCATTTGTATTTCTCAGGCTCACAGAGACGCTGTGCAGTCGGAGTGGCAGGCCTTCCTCAACCTGTGTCTGGCTCAGGAAATACACCTGGACAACATCGAAGACTACAAGAAGGTAGAGAGCCTAAAAAAACAATGACTATGTTGCATGAAGCGGAAAAACTCCAAGTAAAGTACAGCACCTGATTACAAAACCCTCTCTCTTTTCCTCCGTACCCAAATCTTTAAAAACGGGGGAACAACGGTGCTGATCCAGATTTGTATCCGATATGACGTAATATGTGAAATATGTGCTGGCTTTACGCCCACAGGCCCTATCAGAAACATTGCTATCAGAAACAATGCCCGACTGTTTTGGACGTAATGGTCGGTGTTTACATTAGCATCGCTAACACTCAGAGCTAGCCTGTACTGGAGAGCATGTGTGTGAAGAAGCAGGAAATAGAAAGGAACTCACCTTGTGGTATAACCGGCAAGAGAGAAAGCCTTTGAGCTCCAAACTGTTTCAGAGAGAATCCTTGATGTGGTTTGGAACATGATATGGCATTTAATCACGGCAGCATTTCTGATCAGGCATTAGCTCCGCCTCCTCTTATTTTTCTTTTAAAGCTAAGGACCCAGTATCAGCCCTTTTCTAACAGGGCTGGAATACAGGGATGTCTAAAATGCATGATCTGTTTGGTATTTTGAGCTAAACACATCATTTTTTATATATTTGTATATATCCAATAATATATGCCTACAAATAGCATGATAGGAGACCTTTAAGTGAATATATTTTGTGTCACAGTTCCAGCTGGAGGCAGAGACGCTGTCCGAGTCTCTGGAGAGGCTCAACTCCAATCTGGACCCGAAGGCTCTCACAGGGAAGAGCAACCCAGAGGTCCTGATGGCTCTGGAGGTAACACCGCTACTATATTCTTTAATTAGCATTTAAGAAATTAGGTACATTAATTGTCAACATCTAACCGAAGGGCCATTTGTTATGTTTGTTTATACCTCACCCATTCCTCCCATCTGTCCTCAAAGATATGAACTACATTTCTAATCCTCCGTATTTTTGTTTCCGTTCCACATATTTTATTTACAAGACTCTTCCATTTAGAGTTTTCCCTTCAATAGTGTTTTTATTTGTTAGAAAACTCTCCCTGGTCCCCGGCTTGATCTTCAATCTCAGGATCCATGTATTTCTAATCCTCTCCAGAATGGAAGTAGTTGAAACAAAAAAAAGAATTTGTTGGTATTTTTCTGAAAATCTAAAAATGCACTTTTCCTCAAAATTCTGTCTTTTTCTAAAAAATCAAAAAAAATTCTGTCTTTTTCTCAAAAATCTCAAAATTATGACTTTTTCTACAAAAATCGGAAAAAATCGGACTTTTTTTCTACAAAAATCGGACTTTCTCAAAAATCTCAAATCTTACTTTTTCTCAAAATGTTATCTATTTCTGAACACCGGTCCCCGTGTATCTGTGATCCTCTCCAGAATGGAAGGAGTCATCACATACAGAGCATCAACTAGTTCCTGAACAGTGTCCTTCACATGCTGATATCCAAGAGAGGGAGTTACACAGTGTTAACTGTGATGGTTATTCTCGCGTCCAGGAAAGAGAAGCTTAAAAAGGAGACTAAATGGAGTCTCTGAGATGTTTTCAAATTGGTACTTTAATTAATAAAAAGCGTGGTAAAGTCACAAACAGGATATTTTCCGACAGAAAAGCAGCTGTCTCTGGCTCTCACTAGCAGAGAGAAAAGAGGCCGAACCCTCAGGTTTCGTTGTTTATATAGCCTCTCCTGGCTCCTCCCTGGGGGCCGGCTCTCCGCGTATTTAATGTCCGTTGTTACGCATATCACAGGATACAGACATTGTACATTCAATATATATATAAACACGCCTTTTCTCCTCCTTAACTCTTTCATGACTTTTCATTTAACACATTCTAAACGCTGTAATCAATACTCCAAAAAAATACAGGGAATACTTCACAGCAGTTTGGTTTCCGGTCGTTCCGGATGTTGTCACATGCTACCCACATCTGTAAACAATAACGTACTCAAATAAACTGTACCTTCATTTTATATTCAGCAATAATAATACGTCTATAGTTGTAGTGTTGAAATCAGTAGGTTTCGGTGTGCAACATCATATCGCTGCTAAATTCATCTCTATAGGAAATGGTATATTAGCCTCATGCTAACTGCTAACCGGAGATGAAGGATTTTCAGAATAAAAGCTTAACTGGTTGTGCACAAGAACTTCTGGTTTTTCAGTATAAAACAGCATTTAAACTAAAGGTACATTTAAGGTACATTATGCCATCAAAACATTGATTTGAATTTCTAACAACAGTCACAAGATGGAGGAATAGAAAGCAGTATTCAATGTTTACTTCAGATTAGCTCCACGTCAGAAATGAGCATGCTTGATGTCTCTCTCCATAGAGGCTGAATCATCATGTTAATCACAGAGCTATCATCTGCCTCAAACAGTCCTGATGCTCTTCTAGGTAATCACACATCCTGTTATGTTCACAGCTACAGTTGGGATACCTTTGTTATCATGTGACTCTGATATTGGAAGAGGACATTCAGGATTTTCCCAACACTATTCTAACACAATGTTTCCTGCAGGGCGATGAGCCGGCGGTCCGGAGGAACGATCAGCGTCTCTCTGACCTCAGAGAGCTCAGCAGCGGCATCTTTCCTCTGAAGCTCCGTCGGACCCTCCCCACCAAACCCACCTCCGCCCTGGCCCTCTGTGACTGGGCTGATAAAGCTGTAAGATACGTTTCAGTGCTTTACAGACTTTGATATTTAAAACAAACAGGGTTTCCTATGACAGGAAAGGCCTGTATTTCTGTTCCAAAGTCAAAATCAGAATCAGAAATCCTAATTTAATAATCCAAGAAGTACACACCCATGCCAAAATAAATGATTAGGAGCATCATAAAGATAATACGATAATACTTTATTGTCGGATTGAATCTGACATTTTTACCAAGACAAGATACACGGAACATTTAACTTAGCATTTAAAACCCTGAAGATGTTCAGATCACTGTTCAAGACGTACATTATATATATTATAAGTTCTTGTTATCTTAATTGTATCTTCCTCTTTAAGACACTGCCTGTGTTTTAACATTTTTATTTTTTTATTTTTTTATTATTACGATTTCCGATTATGTTGCATGTTTTAATTTGACTGTATTTACTTGTTTAAAATGAAATGTGTCTTTAGGGTGACTTACAAAATCTGTCCAGGGACTACAGATGAGAAATAGCCTCTTGGCTAAATTAATGTGCACTGTCCCTTTTTAAATAAATAATAATAGGATAATACTTTATTGTCGGATCAAGTCTGACATTTTTCTCCAAGACAAGATACAAGGAACATTTAACTTAGTATTAAAATCACTGAAGACAATAATAATACATTTGATTTAAGGCGCCTTTCATGACACTCAAGGACACCGTACAATTTGTTAAATATTCTAAGAGGTAAAAGCAACTGAACATGATACAAACAGAAACATACCATCATGGAGAGGACAATTAAAGTGGACACAAATGATAGGGACTTGTTATTCAGGGAAAACAGATGATATGGAGCACTACAGTGAGTAGGCTGATCGGAACAATATCTTCAAGACCCTCTAACGTACCTTATATATTCTTGTTATCTTCATTTTATCTTCCTCTACGTGTGCTTCAGGACACAGTGAGGCGTGGAGAGACTCTAACCCTAAAGTCCAACTCTGATAATAAGAACTGGGTGCTCCAGAGCGACAGTGGGAAGACCAGGACCCTCCCAGGGACATGCTTTATGATCCCCCCCCCTAACGCCGAGGCCCTGGAGAAAGTCAAAAGGTACAGAGTGCAAACACACACCCTACAGTATGTTTTCTCGACATCCTTTTATTATGTGATAACAACAAATCCTGTGATGTTTTTTTAATGAAACATGATGTGTGTGTTCAGTCTGGATAAAGCGCTGAGGGATCTGAAGAGCCGTAGATCTGTGCACATGTCCTCCCTGAAGAACCCCACTGTGGAGGTGGTCCACCCTCAGAAAGCAGGTGAGAAGAAAGACATCAGAACAGGACCACCTTTATTTGTTTCTCCTGAATATAAAGTCCTATACCAAGAAGTGACAAATAAACATGGAAGAAGAATCTCCACATATTAACAACCCTTAATGTGTTTGCTTTAAAAAAGCTAACGTTACAGCACGGTCATATGATTTCATACTGCTAAGCTAAAAGCGGCTAATGTTGGGCTATAAAGGAACTACAGCACGGTCACATGACTTCACGTCACCACTGCTAAGCTAAAGGCGGCTAATATTGGGCTATAAAGGAACTACAGCACGGTCACATGACTCCACGTCACCACTGCTAAGCTAAAGGCGGCTAATGTTGGGCTATAAAGGAACTACAGCACGGTCACATGACTTCACGTCACCACTGCTAAGCTAAAGGCGGCTAATATTGGGCTATAAAGGAACTACAGCACGGTCACATGACTTCACGTCACCACCGCTAAGCTAAAGGTGGCTAATGTTGGGCTATAAAGGAACTACAGCACGGTCACATGACTTCACGTCACCACCGCTAAGCTAAAGGCGGCTAATGTTGGGCTATAAAGGAACTACAGCACGGTCACATGACTTCATGTCACCACCGCTAAGCTAAAGGCGGCTAATGTTGGCCGCGATTATGTTTAGTCGTCTCATTTAGACACTTGTTAGCAACCAAAAACACGTTAAAATTGCATTCCCGTAACCCGTTTTTTTGCAATATATTATTACATTACTGTGTTAAAGTATTTAATGACCAAAACAACACGTCGAAAAATATATTTACAAAGGAATGAATCGCCAGGAGAAAAACGCCCTTGGTGTGTAAATGCCTAGTCTTTATGAAAGAGTCTTGCAGTTTTCATTGTATAGTTTTTGTCATTTCTCCTCCTCAGTCGCTGTTCAAAGTGCTCCTGAGGATCCACGAGCTGCACAGCTGGCCAGTGAAATGGACAAGATCAACAAAGCCCTGCAGCGGAACGAGAAAGAAGTCCTGAATCGCCTCAGATCCCCGCTGGACAACCGCAACCCGACTCAGGACCTGAACAAACGCCTGCAAGAGCACGAGGTGAAATATAGGCTCAAGTTCATTATCTAATACATGTTTTGTCTTTATGTGAATGTGGAAATTCACCTCCGAGTTACTCAACCTGGCTATTTTGATGCCATCATTAACACCATTGAACTTTGGCCTTTTCAGAAATCTGCTCTGGCTGTGAGGAAGCTGGAGTCGGAGAAGAATGCTCTCCAGAGAGAGATGGAGCCCATTCTGGCCAAGAAGCCTCTCGGACCCACCGCCTCCTCCCTGCCCCTCAAAATCAGCGCCGCCAACAACAAGATCGACGACATCAACAACTTCATCGATCTCTATAAGAAAAAGTAAGAAAGAACTTCTCTTTTATATGATTTCTATTGTTTGGAAGTGTTAGAAAAATCTCACTGGTCCCCGGCTTGAGCTTGAACCTCAGGATCCGTGTATCTGTGATCCTCTCCAGAAGGGAAGTAGTCATCACATACAGAGCATCAACTAGTTCCTGAACAGTGTCCTTCACATGCTGATATCCAAGAGAGGGAGTTACACAGTCACAAGATGGAGGAATAGAAAGCAGTATTCAATGTTTACTTCAGATTAGCTCCACGTCAGAAATGAGCATGCTTGATGTCTATCTCCATAGAGGCTGAATCATCATGTTAATCACATAGCTATCATATGCCTCAAACAGTCCTGATGCTCTTCTAGGTCATCACACATCCTGTCATGTTTACAGCTACAGTTGGGATACCTTTGTGATCACGTTACTCTCAGACTGGAAGAGGACATTCAGTGTTTTCCTAACAGGAAGTTGTGTTTCTCTCCTCTCTACCAGGGCCACAGCCTCCATGTTCCTGGAGAAGCAGAAGCTGAATGTGGAAGGCATGGTGTCTGGGTTCGAGGAGAAATTGGCTAAAGAAGGCGCCATTTATGATCAACCGAACGCCCTCCCGGGTCGCAACCAGCAGCTGCAGGTGTGGTACTTATAAAAGGAAACAAGTCAAAGATTTAACTTTTTGTTGTTGTTATAATTTCAATCTTTATTGTCACATTATACATGGCAATAACATGCTGGTTACAAAAACATTACAATCATGTAACAAAAGGCCAGCAAGGCAATACAAATAAAAGAAAAGGGATATGTCTTCATGTTATTATATTCTTGAAGATACACGTATCTATTGTTCCAGTCAAATGTCTTTGCTTTGAGTCTTGTATAGAGTCAATTCTTCTGTTGAGTTGTGTTTCTCGCAATCTCAGTTTTTCCACCAAAAAGATTTCTTCCACAATTGTTAAAGATTTAACAATTTCAGGAGCAAACAAGTTCGTAACCTGTCTTTATCCTTATGCCGAACAGCTTCTGCGTCAGGATGTCACCGCCAAGAAGGATGAGGTGACTAAACTAGGCAGAGACTTGGACCTGACGGAGCAGTCCTGCAGCTCTTTGCAGCGGACATTCAATGAATACTGTCCGGACATCCGCCGCCAGGAGAATGAGGTGAAACAGCTGAAGAACCGCTACACGTCTGTCAATAATCAGCTCCAGGAAAGGTGAGTCAAACTAAATGCAAGTTGTAACTGTGTTTGTGGTTTTTTGAGTCCCGACTTGTTGAACAATGGACTGTTTTTCATGTTTCACTCTAGATCTGCCCTCGTAAAGCAATCAACCAATAAAAACCAAGATTTCCAGAATGCTGTTCAGGGACTGGATTTCTTCTTGCTCAATTTGCCCAATAACGCCATCAAGCCTACAGACGATGTGAAGCAAATAACAACCAAACAAAACTCTCAAAGGGTGAGTGGGAAGTATTTCTTTAAATACATTCAAATGTGTCCAAATTCTAAATACAAACTAACTCAAGTCTCTCTGTATTTCTTGTTTAGAAAGTAGTTGAGGACATCAAGAAGAAATCCGATGATCTGGACCGAGTCAAGTATCTGTCCCGAGATCTGCAGAGCGTCCTGAATGTGAGTTCAGACAATATCAATATTCTTATTTACAGTGAATTAAGCGCGCACTTACTTTTACTTAATCCTTAAATCCATAAATGCATTTCCTTTCAGGAGTATGACGCTAAGTTGAACACTTACCGTGGCACTCTGAATGAGGACGATGACGATGATGTTGACTATGAGGAACCAGTCCCAACGTTGCGTCAAACTTCAACCATGGCTAAGGCTGTACAGAGAAAGGTACACTTAAAAACTCATGACAAATCTCTACCTTTTCAATAAAAATGTTCCCTCCGTCATCTTCAACTTCGCATCTTGTTTTGCTTTCTGCAGGAGAAAAATCTACTGAACCTGTTCTCCGAGGTGTCTGCAGAAAACGAGCAGATACTCAACCAGTTGGAGACAACAAAACACATCAAGGCCAGGGTACGATATTATGGCATCAAAATACATCACTCAAGTAATAATTATTCCCATTGTTACCTGCCCAAAGTAATTACATGTATCTTTTTATTCATGTGCAGAATGAACAGAAAGTCAGTCAGGTGGTGGTCAATCAGCAGATGCAGCTAAAAAGCGACAGGAAGGACCTGGAGGCAAGTGATAGTCTGAAAAAGGAATTAAGTGAGGAGGTAGCCAGACGCTTGCATGCTGAAAGAGACCTGGAAACATACCGTAAGAGGTTTGTGTCTCTTAAGAGTAGGAAAGGAGTGGAGAGGTTGGAGGAGAGGGAGGTGGTGCAATACTACCATGACCCAAAACTGGAGTTGGAACTACAGTCACTGAAAAGTCGGATCCAGGATGAGTCGTTGAAGAGGACAAGAACCCGTTCGGAGATCGAAATTATCAACGTGACGATCCACAAACTGGAAACACAGCTGATCACAGTCGAACCCAGACTGTTGACCAAGGTAATGACGGAGTATGAGAGAGACCCCCAGCTTGACAAAGACGCCGTCAGGATGAGAGAAGAGATAGAGAGGATAAGGCTGATGCTCCAAACGAGAGATACTGAGAAAATTCAAGTGAAAACCGAGCTCACGGTGTTGTCTCAGCAGAAACAAAAAACCAGGTCGAAGATCGTTAAGAAAGAAGTGGTGAGGCTTGAGAAGGATCCACAGATGCTGAAATCTGTTCTCACGTTCCAGACTAATATCTCAGAGGAGGATTTCAGGTCCGAGTCGCTCAACACTAGCATCTTTAGCACAAGGAGCCAGATCAACACATTGGAGAGGGTCATTCCCACCATCCAACCTAAGATAGTCACCAAGGTGGTAAAGCAAGTACAGCAAGATCCAAAATCGCTGGAAGAGTCAAAGAAGCTGCGAATTGCCTTGGAGGAGGAGAAGGATGAGAATGTTATCTTGTTGAAGGACCTGACCACCATGCTGATACGTTATGGTGAGCTGGAAAAGCTCAGACCTAAAGTTGAGGTCAAGGAGATCATCAATGAGATCTACAGAGTTGATCCTGAGACAGAAATCGAGCTGGTGCGTCTGAAGAAAGAACTTCAGGACTCTGGCCGTAACCGCACGAACCTGGAGTACGAAAGCAAGACATTGGTTACAACTCTGACCACCCTGCGCTCTCAGAAACCCAAGATAGAGTACAAGGAGGTGACCCAGGAAGTGATCAAAGAAGAGAAAAGCCCAGAGGTTACCAGGGAATTGCAAAGGCTGAACAACCAAGCTTCCCGTCTGCTAGTCAACTATGAGACCACCATCGAGCTGCTGACCCGACTACGCAGAGACAGAGATGAGCTGAAGGTGGAAAAGTCCAAAGTGGAGACCAAGCTGGTCACGAAAGAGCTCATCAAATATGAGAATGATCCTCTCCTTGAAAAAGAGGCTGACAGACTCCGGAGGAATGTCAGAGAAGAGATCCAACAACGCCGCAGTGTGGAGGAGTTGCTCTTTGACATCCAGAACCAATACATCCTCCTCGAAAGGCAGAAGCCCGATGAGAAGATAGTCATGCAAGAAGTGGTGCGTCTTCAGAAGGACCCCAAGCAGTTAGTGGAGCATGACAAGTTGAACAAGAACCTAGACGACGAATCGAAAGCCCGCAGAAAGCTTGATATAGAGGTCAGACAGCTCAGAGCGCTGATTCAAGACAAAGAGAGTACCCTGGCTCAGATGGATGAACGCCAGAAGAAGATTAAAGTAGAGTCCGAGCTCAGGCAGATCAAGTCTCGCATTCTTGAATTGGAAAACGCTCCGCCACCCGTTGAGGAAAGGATCATCATCGAGGAGATCCTGAAAGTGGAGCGGGATCCTAAGCTGGACAGACTTACTGATGGTATACGTGCCGACAAGGATACCGAGGCCAACAATATCAGTCGTATTGAGAGAGAAATCCGCAACCTGAGGTTAAAGTTGGAGATTCTGCAAAAGGAGAAAACAATAGAGAAGGTTGTTTACAGAGAGGTTGTTCGCGTAGAGAAAGACCCGGCGTTGGAGGCTGAAAGGGAACATATGAGAGACCTCGTAATGCAGGAGAGAAATCTGAGGCGTGACCAGGAAGATGACACCCAGAACCTCCACATCAGAATTACTCACCTGCATACGTCGCACTCCGTGACATCTGAGGAAGAAACCGCTCTCGTCATCACCAAAGATACCATGCAGAGAGAGAAGGAGGATCTACTCAGACAGCTCAAAATGCTAGAGGCTCAAAGAAATACCATCACCATTACCTTCCAGCAACAGTCCAAGCTGATCAGTGAGAGAAACATGATGTCCAAGCAGAGGAGTCTGAGGTCATCCTCTGACCTAGGACGGCTGGAGAAAGAAATCCTCAACGAGAAGGACAAAATACACCAGAGAGACACACTTATCATCGAGTTGCAGAGCAGTGTCCAGAGAGAGGACCACTCTGAAACTCACACACGGGAGATAAACCTCTCAACGAAGATCACCATCCTGGATCCAGAGACCGGTAAAAACATGTCTCCCTATGATGCCTATGCACAGGGGCTGATTGATCGCCAACACTACATCAAGCTGTCTGAGTTGGAATGCGACTGGGAGGAAATCACTTCAACTGGTCCAGGTGGTGACACAACAATCCTGCAGGATCGCAAAAGTGGAAAGCAGTACTCCATCAATGAGGCTCTGAAGGATGGTCGCTTGACCCAGTACGACATGTCCTGCTACAAGGAAGGGAAAATGTCCATTACTGAGTTTTCCCTCCTTGTCGCAGGGGAACCCAGCAAGCCCGTCTTTCCTCCAGTCATCCATTCAGCCCCACGATCACCCATCAGAACCTCCTCACCCTCTCCTTTGAGCTACATGCCAAGCTCCCTGAGGTCCTCCTTCCCCAGCCTCAACACTCAATACAACAGCTCAACTCAACTCAACAGTCACAACAGTGGCAGTCTGAGCAACCTCACTTCCACAGCAGGTGATGAGTATTTCCCCATCTCCGGCATTTTAGACACCACCACTGAAAGCCGCATGTCCGTGAGAAGTGCCCTGACCCGCAAACTCATTGATGCCGACACAGCTCTGAAGCTGCTGGAGGCCCAAGCAGCCTCCGGGGGAATCGTTGATCTCGCCAAAAAGGACAAACTATCCGTCCACAATGCAGCTGAACGTGGGCTCATTGACACGAGTGACATGCACAAGCTTCTGAATGCCCAAAAGGCCTTCACAGGAGTCGAAGACCCCATGACCAAAGACCGTCTCGCAGTGGGACCCGCCGCAAGTAAAGGGTATATTCCTCAAGAAAATGCCAGGAGGTATATGGAGGCACAGTACCTCACCGGTGGGTTTGTGGATCCCTCGAAAGCAGGCCGCCTATCAGTCAAAGAAGCTCTCGCCACTAATATTATCGACAGCAAAACAGCTGACGAGCTACAAGATGAGACCTCCTACAAGAAAGAGTTGGTGGACCCCATCACGAAAGAGAAGATCTCATACAAGCAGGCGATGGATCGGTGTAAGATAGACAACCACACAGGGCTCCTGCTGCTTCCTGCCGCTTCTACTGATGCCACGGACGCCCCGTCTTACTCTAACTATCGCTTCAGATCCAACAAATATTAGATGTGAAGTTCAAGATGTTTTATTTGTCGCAGCTACTGGTGCTAGAGGGTGTGTGATATTACTAACTGATCCACGTAAAGATAAATATGAATATGTGTGTACACTGGGAGGGAAAAACGACATATTTGGTGAAACTGAATTCTCTTTTCAGTGGTTTTTTGTTTGGTCTGCATATACATGAGGGTACTGTTTGTTTTATATGGTAAATTGTTTTGCAGCACTCTCAAGCTGCTAAATCCTATGTAAGTGTTCATTAAACTCCAAAAGCCTCACATTCATTTTCCTGTTGTGTATTTGATTTATAAACGGTTGAAACGTCGACAGATGCATGAAAACATATTCAATATCAGCTCATAAACTAAACACAACAAGACACCCTTATTACTATGCTTTTGAGCCATGCTAACAGCAGCTCTTTTAGTGCTAATCATCTAGGGTTGAAATGCTAACATGCTATGCTAAAATGGTAAGCATTACACTTGCTTAAATTCAGCCTGTTAGCATTGTCCTTTTAAGCATTAGGTGATGCTTAAAAGGACCTCAACGTTGGCACTGTTGCCAATGTGACAGTTAATAATAATAATGCATTTTATTTTTAGGCGCCTTTCATGATACCCAAGGACACCGTACAATTTGTTAAAAACATGCAACATAACATGATAAAACACAAGTTAAGATAATACTCTAGTTGTGAGGAATATTACATTTGTCGTCTAATAACATTTAACATATCTAATAAGGTGAGAAAAGCTTATATGTTGTATTAAATATACAAGGATTGACTAAAAACATAAAAGTGGGTATCGTTGAATTCTGTAAAAAAACTAAAACGGTTAACTGCTAGGAAATCTGCATATTTAAATTGAATTAGTTTCTTAAATTGTTGATCTGTGATCTACTAGAAAGTCTTAATCTAGGATCCCAAGATTGATTGCTTATGACTCCACCACATTTCTGGAGAATTTGCAGCATTTGAGTAAAGGAGGAACGCAGAGGAAACACTACTTTCCCTTCTCCTCATTTATCAGGTATGTTATTGGTGTTTTCCGGCAGTGGCTCGGTCAGTCGGGGCTTGGACTGGGAGCCGTAGGTTCCCCGGTTCAAGTCCCCGACCAGACCTAAAATGTGGAGTGTGGACTGCCACTTGGAGAGGTCCCAGTCCACCTCCTGCCCTGCGGTGGTGCCCTTGAGCAAGGCACCGGACACCCCCCCCCCACTCCCATTGCTCCCCGGGCGCTGTACAATAGCTGCCCACTGCTCCTAGTACTAGACTCCTAGTAAGGTAGCACTAGACTCCTAGCACTAGACTCCTGGTGCTATGGGTTAAAAGCAGAGAACACATGTCACTGTGTGTGCTGTGTGCTCTGCATGTGTGACCATTAAAGAGGGGCTCATCCCTCCCAATTCTAATTCTATTCTATTTTAACAAACTAATATGGTTGTGTTCAAGAGTTTCCTCGAGAATGTCTGTGACATTTTGAGTAAATTAGAGTAAATTCTCACAGAATAAAAATCATTTTCATGATTGGTTCTCCCTGCAAAACACTAGCATGTCTGTAAACTCTTAGTCTTTCTATTAACATGGGGGATAAACCAAATTCCAGGAAGTCCACAACACAGTGAGTCATCGACTGTATCTGATACTTAAATAGCTGTATTTGCAAAACACTGCTCGTAAACCCCGGCGAGCCATAGGCTATGCTTGGAAATGATGGATTAAGGATGCAGATTAAACATGACTCACACATGTAAGGTTAATAAGGTCAAACTCACGGGCCCATGAGACATGCATGTGGAAAACATAAGGACCAGTCAGCATAAGAAATCAACACTGAAGAACCTGATTTGAGTTTAAAATCTTCTCCTGGCGAGGGTTTAAGTGATATTGTTTTGGGGATTTGCCTAAAAGACCCCGTCTGACCCCCTGTTTACAGTGAAGGGTGTGGGAGCACGTACGCTGGGATGTCTGTCTGCCAGATTACCGGGTGACTGAGAGGACTTTGTGGGATTACTGAACATGATCCTGTCTGGAGGCTGAGGTGGCCCCACTCTGCGTCAAAAAAAAGCTTAATTTACAAGGACAAATACGATCAATATGTTCTGGACCCTTTAAAGGTCACCTATCATGCAAAACCCACTTCTTCATGTCTCTTCTACATCAACATGTGTCCCCTCTTCTTCATGTCTCTTCTACATCAACATGTGTCCCCTCTTCTTCATGTCTCTACATCACATGTGTCCCTCTTCTCCATGTCTCTTCTACATCAACATGTGTCCCCTCTTCTTCATGTCTCTTCTACATCAACATGTGTCTCCTCTTCTTCATGTCTCTTCTACATCAACATGTGTCCCTCTTCTTCATGTCTCTTCTACATCAACATGTGTCCCCTCTTCTTCATGTCTCTTCTACATCAACATGTGTCCCCTCTTCTTCATGTCTCTTCTACATCAACATGTGTCCCCTCTCTTCATGTCTCTTCTACATCAACATGTGTCCCCTCTTCTTCATGTCTCTTCTACATCAACATGTGTCCCCTCTTCTTCATGTCTCTTCTACATCAACATGTGTCTCCTCTTCTTCATGTCTCTTCTACATCAACATGTGTCCCCTCTTCTCCATGTCTCTTCTTCTTCAACATGTGTCTCCTCTTCTTCATGTCTCTTCTACATCAACATGTGTCCCTCTTCTCCATGTCTCTTCTTCATCAACATGTGTCCCCTCTTCTTCATGTCTCTTCTTCATCAACATGTGTCCCCTCTTCTTCATGTCTCTTCTACATCAACATGTGTCCCCACCTTTCTTCATGTCTCTTCTACATCAACATGTGTCCCCTCTTCTTCATGTCTCTTCTACATCAACATGTGTCCCCTCTTCTTCATGTCTCTTCTTCATCAACATGTGTCCCCTCTTCTTCATGTCTCTTCTACATCAACATGTGTCCCCTCTTCTTCATGTCTCTTCTACATCAACATGTGTCCCCTCTTCTCCATGTCTCTTCTACATCAACATGTGTCCCCTCTTCTTCATGTCTCTTCTACATCAACATGTGTCCCCCTCTTCTTCATGTCTCTTCTACATCAACATGTGTCCCCTCTTCTTCATGTCTCTTCTACATCAACATGTGTCCCCTCTTCTTCATGTCTCTTCTTCATCAACATGTGTCCCCTCTTCTTCATGTCTCTTCTACATCAACATGTGTCCCCTCTTCTTCATGTCTCTTCTACATCAACATGTGTCCCCTCTTCTCCATGTCTCTTCTACATCAACATGTGTCCCCTCTTCTTCATGTCTCTTCTACATCAACATGTGTCCCCTCTGTGGAAAGAGACTCTGAAAGTTTCAGGAACAAAGATTCTCTCTCTTTTTGATCCATTTCTATAAAAACCTGTCTGAAAATGAGCTGATCAGATTTTGGCCACTTTATGATGTCATAACGATGTGTTGTTTTGTGTAACCATTAGCCAATCAGCAACCAAGGTAAACCCCCCCCCCCTTATCACCTGAATCTCCTCTAGAGCACCATTGAGTTATTTGTAACCAACTGTCTCTCAGAGGGGCGTGGGGAGGGGCTCCTTATTTTCATCTAAAGTAACAGACAGAGAATCAGCACTTTGGAAACAGGCCTGAAACAGAGGGGATTATGGGTAATGCTGCAATGATCTGTTTGGTGTTTCAGCCAATCAGAGGCAGGCTCTGGATATATCTGAGACCTGTGATATATTTATGAAGAACAGTAGAATAGGGGACCTTTAAAATACATTTGATCCGGGAGTGAACTCTGTATTATATCAACTCAGCCTAGTAGTAATACACATACACACCTCTCTTTAAAGGAATATATAGCTTTTTACTCTTCAATATAACCGTTTTTAAGAATAAATCTGCAACATTTTAAGTGAATATATTACATTTTCTCAATAGCTTTCATATCAGGTGACCCATTCACTCAGCAGCAGCATTGTGGTGCAGGAATGAGTCCTAATCGTTCACTAATCAGCATTTTCGCACTTCTGGTTCCCTGGTCTCGAAGTCAATGGTTTCTGAATGTGTTTTTGGTTGCCTGAAATAAGATCTGTGGTTAACACGAGACATTTTAACGTTTCTTCTACGACATAAATACGCCCCCACTGGAGAATTTAACAACAATGCTAACAAGTGTCTGAATGGTTTCGATGGTTCAGGACATGGCTGGGGTTTGAGACATTGTTGTTGGCAAGTTTCTCAGTGAACTGACATGATGCTACAAAGTCAAATAGAGTGGCCTCAAGTGCTGTCTTTTGTTTCTGTGTAGCCTGGTTTCAGATGTTGCATTATTTTTCTCCAGTTTCTATGAATAGCGTAGTGACCTCAGAGCATGTGTGACGACTGCCTTTTAAAAGCCTGCTAAATACGAGAGCATCACATACAGAACGTGGAAACATATTTGCACAGTAATTGGCAGCTGCTTTCTGTTCTACGCTGGATTGTCATAATAGTCTGTAGTGCTGATGGTTTGAACCCAGGACACATTATTCCCTCTGTATATAAATGATAACAGCCTGCCCTGCAATCATGCTAACACCGTTATCAACTGTATTTAAAGCTTTTCAGAGTGTTTTCTCTCGTCATTAATTGGGTGAAATTATTGCTGGTGGTAATTTATCATGAATGGAACAAATGCTAAAAGCACATACGCATTACAACCAAACGTATGAGTGATGATCCTCCTCACCCATGTATTGACAAATTCATAACTATCATAAATGCATTTACTAGAAGTGCCTTATTTATTTATTGGTCAAAAGTCTCTGCCAGAGGTGATAAACTCCAGTAAAGCTGAGACTTCCCGACAGCCGAACATCCACAGATGCCATCTGGCAGCGTCAGCTGAAACCAAAGATGCCGCGAGCCGTATTCATTCTGCAGATTTCTGCCTTCAACCTCATTCTGTTTGCTGAAATTAACCCCACCGAGTTTCACCTGACCTGTGAGATTTAGTTGAGATTCCCGAGAAAAAACCCCATCATCTATCAGTTGATTCTTTCACACACAGTGACGTCACGAGCTACCCACAATGCAACACGCGCCATATATATATATATATAAATACGCCATTTTCCTGGAGGTGCAAATATAAACAGCTAGCTAACGTAGCCAGGCAGAGCGCACTAGTTTTTTTTTCTGAATTAACGACCGAAGAAATCGCTGCATGTCTTCGGATTACATCTCTGGACTTGAGGGGTGTGCTCTAGGTCGTTACCAGCGTAAACTAGAGCTGTGTGGGTTGTTACAGACTGC